AGGACGAGAAGCCGATGGTACCTCACTCTCCCTGCCAAAATAAAACACGTGAGTTTAGAAGAACATAGTAGGATGGAATACTAAGTTCAACATGCTGTCGGAGGAAGCCAAGGCTGGGATGAATCCACAGATTTCAGCTCATGGGCCTCAGCCCAGAAGTTCAAAGTTTTGGTATGTTTTTCATTTCCTATCACTTGTTTACCCTCGCTCTGCATCTACTTTCAGGTTTCAACTCAAACTTAGACCAGATATAATGTACAATGCGAAATGTGGGTTTGCAGTGTTCACAGGGGGAAACTATAGTAATTCAGTCAGCACCCGTAATCTGCCATTGACTTGACTTCATCAAGACGATGAACCTTCCCCAAACACGAAAGCTATTGATTGGTAAAACAGAGGACAAATCACATGGGAACAAGCTAAGCACAGAGATTTCTTGGAAACTCTGTCTCCAATTAAGACTTGTGAATTATATATACAAGTATAACAAGCAACTCCAACAACATTGTGATCATCATTGGTCTATAATTATCAATCCTGAAATATCGAGCAAATAGGCCAATTACAACGCTCTAGTACAGGGCATCAATACTAAGGTCATTCTTTACTCCTTATACCCAAACTAGACCTGAGTTGGAACAGGGCAGCTCGCTCAATCCTTGAACTAAGCCTCTGCTGCTGCTGAAATGTCGGCTGAAACAAAACCAGCAGATTCAGTACAATACACTGGCGGGATCCACCATGGCTCCTCTCCTTTTTGTTTGTTATCGACAGTGAAGGAGCAACTCGAATACCCTTTTCCCCATATCAAATTCTACGTACCCATTCATCAAAAAACCCACCGAGAGCATTTAGCACTAGAAACGACAATATGGGATGAATATGACTTACTGGGATGCCATAGGTCTCAGTTCTGACTCTGGTTTGTCGATGAAAAGACTGCGGGAAATAGCTCTGGATTTGAAGCTGTGGTGGGCGCGCTGTTGGCTGAAATTTGGGAAGAAGAAAATCAAACGCAATGGTTAGCTGCCTTGCTGGGCAAATCGACAATTTCAAGGTCTCGATTTGCCTCTGTACTGCTCTCCGACAGCAAGATGGCGGCTACAGAAACCTAATTGAAGCCTCGAACCCAGATGGATTGCTGCATTGCTGGGAGGCGGAGGGAAGGCGAATCGGGAGATTGACGACGGCGAGGACGTTGACGAAGGTGAGAAGTTGAACTGGTCGAGGTGAGAACTGAGAACTGAGAAGGGACTGGGAGAGGCTCTGTTTCGCGAAGCCTCGAGCACGAGCAGTCGCCAGTCGAAGTGTCGAACGAAACCTTCCCCCAAACTCGAACCCTAAGAGTTCCACTTCCCCTTATCCAAGAAAACGCCACCGTTCACTCCAAACAGTTTCGGGTTTTCCGGGTTTTTATCGGTTTTCGGGTTACACTAAAACCGAAACCGCTACTTATTGCTTCGGTTTGAAACCGAAAACCCGAAATCCGCCTTCTGTGTTTTCGGTTCGGGTTCGGTTTAACCCGAAAACCCGAAACCGATTGGACAGGCCTAGCCTCAGCCTTTATCGGGGAAGAACAAATGACTTTTCCTGCTCGACCATCGCAAATCTGTCCATGGAAATTAGTAATAACAACCCCATAAGCCGCATTCTGGGAATCATGATCAAAAGATCCATCACAGTGAATCTTTTTTGGGAGATTGCTTGGCGGTGGATGAAGGTGCGACTATAGATGTCAATCGGGCGGGTTCGGGCTGGGTTCAATCGGGTTGCGGGTTCGTTGGGTCGGGTTCAATCGGGTTGCGGGTTAGTCAGGTTGTGGGTTGATCGGGTTCGGGTTCAACCGGGTTGCTGGCAAATCGGGCTTGGGTTCATCGAGTTTCTGACCGGGCGGGTTGCGGGTTGTTCGGGTCAACGCATCGAGTTACTTACTTGTTACCAACTTACACATTTTATTACACTAATTTAAAATATTTTTGATAATTTTTAACCAATTTCTTTCTACCTCGTATATATACTTAATTAAAAAAACTAGTCAAAATGTTGAATCAATTTGTATGACTTGCAAACTTGTCATGTAATTAATCGTAACTGGTAAAGTTCACTAGCCAATCGTAATGGTGATATCAACATTTGTAATACATTATTAACAAACCATACATTCAGTAGACAAAACACTACTCTAAAAGCAAAGAAGAAAAACATTTTTCCTATCTCAACATTTTTGTGCAGCAATATAGATTAACCCAAACAAAATTTGGGCGCCAATATAGATCAATCCAAACAAAAATTGGAGGACCTTTTGGAGCGGGATTGAAGAAATTGGGCGGCAATATATATCAAGAAAATATAAAATTGAACAACATTTTGCAACGAGAAGGGAAATGGGTAACAAAAAAGACACATTTTGTTGTTAACCACAATAACAAATCTCTAAATACCCTCATCACAAACTGCACCACTATGGTTAGTGGTAACCACTAACCGATGCGGTTCGGTGTGGTTAGTTTGTGGTCAATCGCATAAACCAATTTACCAAACTCATAAATTGATCTATATTTTTCTTATAAGTTTGTTATCAATAAAAAATAAGAGAGATATGAAGGATAATATTAATGGTAAAAAATTAGAATCATATATCACATAAGGAAGATATATCAAATAAAATATATACAAAAAGTAAAGCAATAAAATATGTGAAGAAAATCACAAATATAAAAAACCGATAAAACTATTAAAGGGTAATCCAACATTAACAACAAATCACTATCAATCTTATTCAATAAGATGACAATAATTGAATAATTAGTAGAAGTTAGAATCTTTTATAACTAATTCAACAATATAACAAATAACTTATTAAAGTGCTAACTACTAAACTTTACCCTACTTATTAATATTTATTATTATATTCTAATACATATAAAATAGAGTTAATACCTTATTTTGGCCCGAACTATAACCATATAATCAACTTTGGCACGTGGTTTCAGAAATTAACATGCTGGCCTCAACTATGCAACATATAGACTAAATTGGCCCGACACATGCTTTGACCGTCAATTTGGACGGTCAACATCATTGACCGTTAGTCAACATGCCATGTCATTGCCTAGTCAGCCTAAAAATTATTAAAAAATTCAAATTCAAATTATTTTTCTAATTATTATTATTTATCCTTTCCAAATTAACCAAAAATTAAAATATAATTTTTTTTATCTTTTGGGACATTTGAAAATGGTAAATTCAAAAAAATCATATATAAAAATTAAAGATTCATGTTTCAAAGGCTAAAATTTTAAAAACCCAAAAAGTTGAAAACACCAAATTTGTTTCACTCTTTCTTTTCACCAAAAAACAAAAAAATACTAAAATTTTCCCCCTTCTTTCTCCTTCTATAAATTAGAAACACTCAATTTTCCCTTCTCTTTCTCTTCCATAAAATTGAAAGAACCAAATTTCTCTCTTCCTTCCTTCCTTCCTTGAACAAAAAGTTGAAAACTCAAAATTTTCCTCCTTATTTCTCTTTCATAATCAAAATAACCAAACTTTCCTACTTCTTTCTCTTCCCACAAATCTAAACCACCAAAATTTTCACTTGTTTCTTTTCTAAAAAATTCAAAGAACCAAATTCCATCTTCTTTCTCTTCCCAAAAAGTTGAATACACCAAAATTTCTCTCTTCTTTTAAAAACATCAAATTATCAAATACATTACTTTATTTTATTTATATTTAATTGATAATTTTATTGAATAGTTAAATTAATCAAAATTGTAATTTATATATTATATTAATATTGTCCATGATCTAAATTATTCATTCTTCATTATTAATATTGACATTATATTGATTTTATATTTACTTTTTTAATTTTGTTAAAGAACTTAGTGTTCAAGTGACCTTCATGTTTCAAGTGAGTTTCATATTTTTTAAATTCCCTATACGAAATGAAAAAATAATTTTACCTAAGTTTAGAATGAAAAACTTTATTTTGAAAAATTATGTATTGTATATTATAATAATTATTCAAGTGGACTAGGTGAAGTTCGGGTTGAGTCGGTCGGGTTACGAGTTAGTCAGGTTCGGGTCAGTCGGGTTCGGGTCAATCGGGTTCGGGTTAATCGGGTTGCGGTTCGGGCGGGTTACAGGTTGTTGATTTTTAGTCAATTCCGGTCGCGGTTGGGTTGCGGGTCGGTTTGTTCGGGCGGGTTAATCGGGTTGAGCTATGTTTTGACACCTATAGGTGCGACGACCTGAAAGTGTGCAGGTGTGAAGGAGGATGGTGGTGCATCGGATGATGGTCAAAGGACTATCACGAAAAGCTTGAATGGATGTGGTCAAAGGACCATCATCTTTAGAGGAGTGTAGTCGGTTCGTTGGCTTCACGAAAAGCTTGAATGGATGTGGTCAAAGGAGACAAAGTCGCTCCTCTAAAGATGAACTCATTGCGGGCCTTCCAAAACTCATTGTGGGCCTTTCATCAACCGAAAGATGAAAAAACGAAACTGTATCCTCAAACTGTCCTGTGACCTTGTCTCCTCTGCCTGAGCGAGTGCTGCTGACTATTGAGTGCGCATCTCCGACTCCACTCTCCAATCGCCATCTGCCAATCCTTTCGACCAATTGAATTCAGTCCAATTACAACATTTAACTTCAACACCCAAACTTTATACTTGAATCCAATAAATAACATCAATATTTAACTTTTAAGTTCATGAAATAAATTACAATTAATTTTTTATTAATTAAATCTATTAAAACAATATCATTCGTTAATATGCCGAAAAATTGATTGTGCCAATCATATGATGATATTCACGCTAGTTTTATTACCAGAACCGGTTGAATCTGGTCCAACCGGCCCGACATTCCACCATGAGCTTCACTCAACGCGTCCCCTTCCCACTGGATCAGCAGTTCAGCACGTGCAGAACAGCCAAGCATTCCTCTCTCTCTCTCTGCTTCCCCCCACTTTCCCTCTTCCCCCGCGGTTAAAACAACCTTCATCCAAATACACAGCCAAAAGAAAGGAGAGAAAAAAAAAAGGGAAAAGGAAAACCTAAACTCTGTCCTCCGATCTCCCCTCGCCTCCGTAGATCTCACTTCACCGGCGACCTCCCCACCTCCTCCGCCACCATTTTCCGACTTCCAGTCACTGAGTCCTCAAACAGAAGCCAGCTCTCTACTCAAATTTCAACTCAGTAGTCAATTCCCCTGAGACACTCAAGCTTCCAGCTCCTCTCTACTCCCAAGTTCAATTCCGTCGAATCAATGAATGCATCTCCGGACTGAGTCAGATCGATCGGAAATGGCTTCGATCCGCCGCACGCTCTCCCCGGCGCACCACGACCGTTCTCCCTTCCAGAACGGCAACGCCGCCTTCAACTCTACCTCCTCCCCGCTCTCCGTCTCCAGCAATGCTAATAAATACTCTTCCTCCTTCTCCGCCGCGCCCTCCGCTTACCTCGGTCGACTCCTCGCCGCCGCCTTCCCCCACAGACGCAAAGGAGGCTTCGGTAGATCCTTGTACAGGTGCTTGCTCTTCTTCGTTTTAGGTTGCGTGTTAGGTGTCTTCCCGTTTGGCCAGGTCGATAACGATATCCAAGGCCAGGATTTCTCGTTCGAGATCAAGCCGACTCATGTCAACGTCAGATTGGACGAAGATATTGATAAGAGGAGCATCATACTCGACGACGACTCCCCCATTAAGACGGTCAATTTGGGCCTTGATGCTCAGGTTTCCGGAGATGATCCCTCCCGCTTCGATTTTCTGCCGAGGAAGCAACTCATCGTTGTCACTCCGACGTATAACCGTGCCTCTCAGGGTTATTTTTTGAGTAGGTTAGGCCAAGTCCTGCGATTGGTGCGGCCTCCACTGTTGTGGATTGTGGTCGAGAGCGATGCTGCTTCCATGGAGACTGCGGAGATATTGAGGAAAACTAGCGTCATGTATAGGCATTTAGTGTGCACCAAGAACTTGACGAATGTGAAGGATAGAGGTGTTCACCAGAGGAATGTAGCTCTTGAGCATATTGAGAGGCATAAGCTAGATGGGATTGTTTACTTCGCCGATGATGATAATGTGTATACCCTTGAATTGTTCGAGAGGCTAAGAGAAATCAGGTACGTGTTCCCCTTGCTTCTGCCTTAATCAAATCCGCATGCTGAAAATCTGAACTAGCTAACTGAAATAAAGGGTGTGACTCATCTTGGACTGATGGCTTATATTAGAGTATGTATGTTGGTTGATGTTAATGGACCACTTTACTATCAAGTGTAGACATTAATGTTAGTGAGTTGGCTATTCCGTATATCTCCTCTTTAGGCTGGAGTTCTGTGGTTGACGATATCTGCTTATTTGTGGCATATGTTACTCTTGTTTTCTCAATATATTCGTTGATTTCCTTGGTTTATTTTCATACCGAAAGTAAAAAGCATGTAGCTTGGCATTCCTGTATGTTTTATGATCTGTGGGCAGTCATTTTCAACACGTTGCATCTCACTTCTATGCATAGTTAAGGTAAAACTGATTTTGCCAGTTGTGAAACCGTGTACCATTCGGTTCCAATCTTTACATCTATAGATTTTATCTTGAACGTCTAGTTTATCAATCCATAGAGTACATGCTTTCACCTGCAGTAGACCACATTGGCGAAGTCATAGATCTAGAATGCGGAACTCCTTATATGTTTGGTTCTCCCCCCTACCCAAAACTGTGGTGAAGGGGAAAACACTAGAGATGTTGTAACATTCTGTTGCAGTATTCTCCACAGTTACTAAAGATAAATGGTTCTTATATTTTGCCATTGTTAGGCTAGCACTATCATGCAGCGAGTATAATCTGGCTACTGATAATCTCTGTCTTTTACTAAAAATACCGTTTTTCTTCTGTACCTTTGCAGCCGATTTGGCACTTGGCCTGTGGCAATGCTTGCGCAAAGTAAGAACAAAGCAATCCTTGAAGGCCCAGTGTGCAACGGAACTCAGGTGATCGGTTGGCATACAAATGAGAAAAGCAAACGACTCCGAAGATTTCATGTCGATATGTCGGGATTTGCTTTCAACACAACCATCTTGTGGGATCCGAAGAGGTGGCAGCGTCCTTTTAAAAACCCGATCAGGCAATTAGATTCAGTGAAGGAAGGGTTCCAGGTACTATATCTTTGCCCCTCCCCCCGCGAATTTGCTGTATTTATCCAAGTTGTTCCTGATGCGCTGCAATAACTATGTTCTTACTTTGCAGGAGACCACATTCATAGAGCAAGTGGTGGAGGACGAAAGCCAAATGGAATCGGTGCCTTCTGGTTGTTCAAAGATACTTAACTGGCACCTCCATTTAGATTTCGGTGGTACCAAATACCCGGAAGGCTGGCTTCTCCAAAAGAACCTCGATGTCATTCTCCCAATCTAAGGGGACAGAGTTCTGGACATGCAGTTTTGATGCCCAAATAGGTAGGTACACACTACACACTCATAACCAAATGCATCAATCTATGGCAGTTTTTAGTTTTGAAGTTCACACAGTGGTCAGAATTAGTAGGAAGCAGATTGATGAGAAGTAAAGAGTAGCTTCTCTTGTCTCCTTTTTGGGTGCAGATATCCCTTGTTCAAGCGAGGAGGGAGTTGCTCTTCTGTCGACCTCTTTTCAGTACTTGTCAGTGTTGAATATATAGCAGGGCTGGTCAGGGCATCCATCGTAAAGGGAGGGGATCCTCAGCTTCTTGTGTCGAAAAAAGAACAAATACCAGAGCATAGAGACTGGAGAGAGTTTTATTTTTTGGGTTAGCAGAAATTTTGCATTTGTTGGCGTTTGGGACTATTTTTTTCTCCATTGGTTTGAAGCTTTGGGGCACCTCTGCCCTCCAGGCGTTGTCAGAGTAAGAATTGTACTTCAGGTCAGGATTCGTGTACGCTGACATGTGGCCTTTCTGGAGGCCTCTCCTTCTTCCTCCTCCTCGGGAAGAAAGGTTTGGAATTAGCTCTTGTCCTGGTCGTGGAACCTCAATACTTCATCCCATCTCCTCGTACCAGTTGCAAACTTATTTGTCTGCGAACTTGTCGTCTATATTGTTGGCCAATTTTTCGGCCTTTTTCTATCTTGCATTGCTCTCTCAGCCGTATAATTAATTATCATGTCATGTCGTCACTGGAGCTGCCTGGTGAACCGGAGACAAGTAATACAACAATGCAACAGAACAAATTAATCCAATTTATTTCCTACAGTTTGCAGTTCTGGTCTCGATTTGGCAGGAAGATTAACTTGGATGAATCAGCGGCAGAATCAGCTTCCTCAAGCCCAATTTCTCTATTTGAGCCACCGATTCTCGATGTCCATCGGGAACAAAAGCACCGATTCTCGATGACGATTCTAGATGTCCATCGGGAACAAAAGCACCGATTCTCGATGACAACCCAGAAATCAGTTCCTATGACCGGCTAGTTCCCTTAGTTTCATAGGTTGGCAAACCTAGAGGTTGTTTGATGGTGTAACAATTGATGTTTGGTTTATATATGCTGATTTGACTTCTTCTATCTTTCTACTTGATTCCATGTTTGGTTTGTTGGCAGTTCGATTGAGTGTTCAAGACAAGAACTATCTTTAAAGGAGATCCTCCCATCCGACTTTGCGGAGATGAGATTGGAAAGGACAATCATTCACAATCAACCGAACCACACGACTACCTCAAGGGAGAAATCCGTAGGGTCTATGCTGCATGTTGGTTTGCCCCGGACACCATGAACAAAAACAGGATCAAACATGACAAGAATCAAGCAGGTCATAATCATTGATTCTTGGTTACATGCATGTGTGTTTTTTTTTTGAGTTCGCCTTGCTATACTTATTGCGTTGAGATGCCTATGTCTTGCATGCAATACATGTTCAGAAAGCGATCTTGTTGCATAAGGTGACATATGCAATTCGTTGTCATCTTTCCCACGTGCCTTGTCTAGCTTAGATCCCATGATTATCATCATGAGGGGCACGACCATATAGGAGTATAGTAAGAGGAGAAACCCAAGTGATCATGTGGATACTCTCGAACACGACTACGTGTAACCAGAGTCTTTAGTTGAGTCAAAGGACTTTGTGTTAGAAACATAAATGTTAGGGGTTTGGATGGTTAGGTGGCCAGGACGGATTTTCATTAGACGACGTTGATATCATTGATCACAGGGAATAGATTCGATAATCGTCGTTGTTGCTTCGTATATGTCCGCCATCTTATTCTTTTGCTGCAGACGATGTCAAAGTTTGGAAGCTTCATTTATTAACTATTGATCATATTCAAACTTCAGTGTTAATTGCTTCAGCGACAGTTAGTTCATTGGCTGCTTCCCATTTATATGAGATATATATGGTTAACGATTTTGCTTATGTTAGACACATTTCAATTTGTAGATTATTAATAATACATAAATTTCATTATTAACAATATGATCCAATATCACAGTTGTCTATTTATGTTGTTTGTTCATATTATTGATGTTCATGATATCATTAATAAATTATTTTATAAATGAACATTTATGTTCATTATGATAATTGTTAACATCACACAAAATGGAATAGGTACTAACTCGCATAATTAAAACTAATATTATAATTATTAAAAATAACTCTATTGTTGTTAAAAATGCATGTTCGTTCAATAAATGGTTCTATGATTGGGATTTTGTAGAGATTTTTATGTCTGGGTTTTGTATCGTAATCCAAATCGTATTAAATTGTTATTTTAATACGGTCTAATAAAATCGTTAGATTAATCTAAAGGCCAAAATTAGATTGAAGTAAATTGTAACCAACGATTAGTAACATATTATGGAAGCGAAAATGGTATGAGAATATTCAAGATTGAGGATTTAATTAGAATAATGATCACTGGCGTTTTCATTCATGTGTAGCTTTGTTTGATGATTGGATTTATAAAAAAAACATACCATCTTTTGTTGTTTGACAGGTGAAAATAGAGAAGATTGGGCGTGGAGATAAATTCTGAAACTTTGGTCAACTGTGCAACCGTTTATGAGGAAGTAGGGTGATGAAGGCATTCCCATTAAAGTGTTGTAAATGACATTTTTTTTCCTTACAAAAATCACTCTGAGTGCTGGATATCTGATATGGAGAAAATTTAACCCATGCATCTCCTCCATATATTTTATAGATTGGAGGATAGTCTAGAACTAAAATAATTAAATATGAATATTGAAGTATCAAGCACTATAAAGATATCTACAGAAGACTTAGTGAGCTAGTTTATCGTTATGCAAAAGTCATCTGCTTTTCAGATTTTAACTTCGTATATGTATTTTAATACAAAGTATACAACATATTTGTCTAGTGTCTTGGTGCTAATATATCTTTACACGAAATAGATAAATAATTGTGAAGACAAAAATACCCTTCCTACTTTCACTCTGGTTGCTAGAAATTTGAAATAGAGAAAACTTAACCCATGAATCTGTAGATAGATGTCGATTATGTGTAGATGTAGAGGTAAGAAAATAAATAATAACTAAATTTAACCATGCAATTCCCATTTATAAGTAAAATTTGAAAGAATTATGTGATTGTATGATAATAAATAACTAGCTTTTACCTGATTTGTTGGTCAGATGAATTTTGTTTTAATTTTGCTTATCAATTTTTTCATATTTTTAAACTAGCTTTTATAAGACTCGTTGATGGAATGGATTCATCTTATTTGTCAATACTTCATTATAATTAATTAATTCATATTTTCAATTGATTTGGGTACTCTCAAAGAGTAGTAAGTAATATTTTGTACTAAGATAATTTTGACATTGATAATAATCAGTTCAAATGGATTTTTGTTGATCAATTATCATTATTTACTAATGTCTGTACATGTTCCATATTAAAAACATTGCACTACTTATTGGTAACATAAATTGTTTAAAAGTATTTCTTCGTACCAGTATTACTAACTTGTTTATCTATTAAATTCAAACGAAACTAACACAATTATGCATAAAAATAGTAGTTACAAACTTCAAGCGATCAGCATATTGCTAATATGGAAGCTTAAAATCCATCATCTAATGGGTTCACACTTTATGGCCACCAATCGTCTAAAAGGATAAGAACACATAAATTATTAAACACTAATTCATTAGTAACTAATATGTATCTTAAAAAGGTAGGGGTTGTTAAGAATTGACATTAATGATAGTTTATGGGTACTATAACTGTCAAACTTTAAATGTTCTAAACATTTGTTTATAAATTTTATATTAAACAAAGCACTCCATGGCTCAAACATACAATCACGTGTTGTGAAAATTGAAAATTCTAAAAAAAATCATGCTTTCAGGAAAATAAAATATTTGAAATTTAAAATAAATATATAGCTCAATTAGATAATAGAGTTTAGTATTGCCTATATAAATCCAAAACCTATGAGATTTGTTTAACTCTCGCATTTGAAGATTCATAAAAATGATGATGAGTTGGCAAATGTTAAATATGTGAATCAATGGGCAACAAATTTTTGCCAAATTTATTGGCACCATGTATTTGGAAAACTTCACATCAACAAATGATATTTAATAAATCTTACATACCAAGTGCTGATCTATATATACTCACATATGTCATTATTCCAATTTTACTAGTAATTATATTTTTGCATCTTCAGCTCATCTAACTTTAAAAAGTATATCACCAAAAATTTTATTTAAGAGACTATAGTTAGTAATCTAATTGTTCATAGAAAAATTTAATTGATATATTTTTTTTTTATGGACAGGGGAAAGAAGAAAACTGGGATTGAAAGGAGAAAGAAGTTGGTAATTGACATATAAAAAATAAAAATAATTATAATCTTTTCATATCTAAAATCTTGATATTTGTGGCTAATGTAACCATTTTTTTATAGTGAGAATATAGTCATCGTTACTACTTTTATATGAAAAAACTCTTTTTCAGAAGAAACATTAATAATGTTAAATGTATCATTAGAAACATGAACGACAAGATAAAGTAGAGAGCTTCCACAGTTCCACTACAGCAAAATCGACTTGTCACACCACCTGAATGGATGAAGTTTCCAACTATATTTCTTTTTCAAGAAATTAATGTTTAAGTGAACTTTATTGTTTTAATTTTTTTTAAATACATAATTTGAGGGGCGTTTGGATGAGAAATTCTAATAGCTCCTTTTGAACTAATTGTTTCGTTTTGAGAGAATCTGGTCAAATTGATCTATTTGACCGCACAAATTTAGATGAAGCAATTCTACCTGGAGAACTTCAAATTGACTCATTTTGAGACAATCACAATTGCCTGGGGTGGCGGCAGACAATTCAAATTGGCTCGTTTTCAATGACTCATTTTGTAAAATGAGACAATTGGCCCAAGTGAATTCCATATTTTGAACTTCCCTTTATGAAATGAAAAATGTCTTTACTTAGATTTAGAACGAAAACCCCATTTTGAAGACTATATATTATGAAATACAGTAAGTCAGTAATTATTAAGGCCAATCTGCCGGGATTGGATTGGTCGGGTTCGGCCCAATTGAGTTGCATGTCAATTGGGTTACGAATTAAATGAGATTGTGGATCAATCAGATTGGGATTAACCGAGTTTCGAATTAACCGGGTTGCGTAATAATCAAGTTACGGACCAATAAGATTACAGGTCAAACGTGTTACTCAATTCGGGTTGTGGTCGGCTCAGTCGGATCCGACTTTGTTTTGACTCCTATGGGGGGCTAAGATCAGGTGACTAAGGGGGGGGCCCTTAGTCACATGACTAAGTGAATCCTAGCCATCCAAACTCATTTAAATCTAATGGTTGTAATTGATCTGATTTAATGAAGGGTAATCTGGTAATCACAACACTTTATAATTTTTAATTATTAAATAACTTGAATCTGTTTCCTGGCCGAGGGTTTTGCCGTCACCGGCGGCGGCGGCTTTTTTCCCTGTTCGTGATTTACGGCATCCCGTCACCGGCGGCGGCGACTGTTTTTTCCCCTGTTCGTGATTTACGCATCCCGTCCGCCACCCTCGTGGAGTTTTCGGCTTCCCGGCGGTTAGGGAATTCCATTCCCCATCTAACGGCGGCGGGGATAAATAACAGCAGGGAGGGATTTTATAATCCCCATTCCCATTTTGGTTGCGGCTTCCCTGCCCAAAAATATGAGAGAGAGAGAGAGAGAGAGAGAGAGAGAGAGAGAGAGAGAGAGAGAGAGAGAGAGAGAGAGAGAGTCAACTTTTCCGGCGACGGCGGAGCTGTTTGTTTGTCTAGTTTGTATACTTTATGTTATGATTTATACACTTTCTATTCATTGATTTGTATTTGTAACTTTTGTTATTCAAGTTTGTATACTTTTATGTTATGATTTGTATACTTTGTATTCATTTGTTTGTAATACAAGTTTACCAATCTGTATTGTAAGTAGTGATATTCTGTACGTGTAGTATGCTTTGTACTGTTTGTAATGTTTGTTTGTAATGTTTGTAATGTTTGTTTGCAATGTTTGTAATGTTTGTTATTTTGTAATGTTTGTAATGTTTGGTGGTTTCTTTTGTACTGTTTGTAATGTTTGTAATGTTAGTAATGTTTGTTTGTCTAGTTTGTATACTTTATGTTATGATTTATACACTTTCTATTCATTGATTTGTATTTGTAACTTTTGTTATTCAAGTTTGTATACTTTTATGTTATGATTTGTATACTTTGTATTCATTTGTTTGTAATACAAGTTTACCAATCTGTATTGTAAGTAGTGATATTCTGTACGTGTAGTATGTTTTGTACTGTTTGTAATGTTTGTTTGTAATGTTTGTAATGTTTTTTGCATCACAAATCAATACATATAAAGTATACAAATTATTAGTACTTACAATACAAAGCGAAACATACTAAGAATACAAGCAAAACATACTAAGAGTACAAATTGTCAAAGAAAAACATACTAAGAGTACAAACTGTCAAAGAAAAACATACAAACCATACTGTAAAAAAAAAACATACTAAGAGTACAAACTGTCAAAGAAAAACATACTAAGAGTACAAACTGTCAAAGAAAAACATACTAAGAGTACAAACTGTCAAAGAAAAACATACAAACCATACTGACATTTTGTACAAAAATACTAACAATACAAACTAATGTTACAAAACATACAAACTATACAAATCACTGTTCTTCCTTCAGATGACTCTCTCTCCACCGCTGCCGCCGCCGTCGACTCTCTCTCCACCGCTGCCGCCGATGATTCAATCTACTGCCATCGCAACCTCTCTCTCTCTCTCCATCGTCGCGCCGCCTCTCTCTCCTCCATCGTCGCGCCGCCTCTCTCTCCTCCATTGTCGCCGGCGCTCTCTCTCCGCCTCCGCCAAGACCAGATCTATTTTCTCTCTCTTCAACGCCTTCGCCTCCGTCGCGATCTCCTTTCCCTCTTTCCATCGTCGCCGTCGCCGTCGTGGTCGAGGTCTCCTTTCTCTCTCTCCATCGTCGCCGCCGGTCGCCTCTTTTCCATCGTCGCCTTCATCCCGTGGCTGGCAGCGCAGAAGAGAAGGTGGAGAAATTTTTTTTTTTTTGAATTTTTTCTAATTCCAGAATTGCCCTTCTTATTAATAAAATAGTCCTTCCATTATCTACACCATTAGATTGATCCAAGGGCTGAGGGGGCTTAGCCAAGTGACTAAGCACCCCCCTTAGTCACCAGATCCGGACTCATCCTATGGGTCTGGGATGAACTTATACTTTGTTTTGACTCCCACCAAAAAATTTGTCAAATTAGGGTTCAGGGTTGGCCAAAAATTGGAAGTCCGTGATCATGGAGGGGTGGGATCCGAATACGAAATCGACTCTAACACAGATCCCGCTGCTCACAACGAAAGCTGGACCAAGAGACGGAGCGGCATGGACGCAGAGGCTGAAGGAGGAATACAAGTCTCTGATCGCCTACACCCAGATGAACAAGTCCAAAGACAACGATTGGTTCCGAATTTCCGCCGCCAATCCCGAGGGGACACGGTGGACCGGCAAGTGCTGGTATGTTCATAACCTTCTCAAGTACGAATTCGATCTTCAGTTCGATATCCCGGTTACTTACCCCTCCACTGCCCCCGAGCTCGAGCTTCCGCAGCTTGATGGCAAGACCCAGAAGGTAAAAGCTCTGTTCTTTTGGATTTAGGTTGATTTTTGCCCCTTCCTTTGTGGTGGGTAATCGGTCTCTGAATAGTGGGTGGATTGGTGTTCTGCAGATGTATCGAGGAGGGAAGATTTGTCTGACTATTCATTTCAAGCCACTGTGGGCGAAGAATAGGTATGCTGCTATGGCTTCTGGTTTCGTAATGTTGAATGGAGTCAATACAATAGCTCTTGTTCTTCTGGAGTTTGATCAATTCCAATTTTCAGAATTATGAGTTGCTTTTATATGGAAATGGAAATGCAGTCAGAATATAGAATAGTGGAAACATAGAAGTAAAGGCTAGGAGCTATTAGTATTGAATTAATGGTCGCAATGCTAGCTCTTCCGGGTTGGATCAACAGAATAGGCTGGCTTGCAGTGGCTTCCTTCACTATGAATTGGACTTTTCTTTACCAGGGACTTGATTGATTCTATTGCATCTGATTGTTAGTATGCCAATTACTGATTTGTTATATATGTGATGTTTTGGATTGTAAGGAATCAACTTTTTTATCACGCGGTGACGATCTGAATGACACAATATCTGGATGTGATTTGATTTGAAATGCCACCTTACCTGAGCAAAAGAAGATAAATACTCTGAATATACAGAGATCAATGCTATGAATTCCATATAAAAGCTTAGTCTATAGTTTGAGTCCACTAGTTCTCATAGGATCGAATGCCTTTTAGTCAGTTCTGTTTAGCAATCTGCAGCTTTAACAATCTCCTGATATTTGTAGTATCTAAGATAGGAAGCCTGAGAACCAGATTTTAGAGATCGGTTCACTGCATTAACAGCAAACAAAATCTTTGTGCCTTTTTGTCAACTTTTTTCAGTCCCCGATTTGGCATTGCACATGCACTGTGCTTGGGACTTGCTCCATGGCTGGCAGCTGAAGTTCCCATTCTGGTGGATTCTGGGATGATCAAGCACAAAGATGATACAGCCTCATCAAGTGAGTCTTAATTTTGCATAGTTGATTATGCTGCTGTAAAAGTTATGTCATCAGACATCGCCCTTTTGAACTACAGAAATAAAGATTGAGGAAGTGTTCTCAATTTGTTCTGAACATCAAATGTACAATTTCTGTGGAGCTGACAAAGGGATTATACAGTTGGAACTTGGAAATGCATCGAATGCACATAACATCATGGGAACTTTTGTCCCCAGTGGTTGCTTGAATTACCGGTCATCAAGCCTCTCTTTTTAAATTTTGGCTCTTGTAGCTCCTAACTGTTGCACCATACTCTTCCATTGTGATTTGTGTGATGTAACTTCTTAACTCTGGCCTCTTCTTTTCTGTTTTCTGTTTGTGACAACTATCAAGTGATCAATGATCAGCTTGTACATCTTATATTGATTGAAGAACTCCTTACCGAACAAGAAATTTAATTCTTATTATTTATTAAGGGTGTTCCTCGTTTACTTTCTAATGAATGAATTACAGTCACAGGGGAAAAAGAACCATACAGGGGAGGGAGGACTCGAGAATCACCATGTAATAAGCTTATTCATAACAAATCCTTGGTAAATAAATATTGAAACAATGCTTCACCAGAAACGTATCCACATCAACTCGGAACTCCAACTCATACTCTCGTCCGTCCTCGTTATTTCCATCTTCTCTGAAACCTGATTTGATCAGAATACAGGACCAGCAGCAAGAATCTGCTCAGTGAGCTTCCCATCCTTCCCTATCTTATGATTAGCAAACACCTCGAAGTTCTTCTTAAACAGGCCTCCCAACTTCAGCAGCGTCTCATTGTAAGCCTTCTTGTCCGACCACTGCAAACCCCAAAAATGTCCAACATCTCAGTCTGCGGCCAAACACAAGTAAGGGGGAAAAGAAGATAGCAAGCAAAACACTCACAGTGTTGGCGGGTTGGAGGATTTCAGAAGGAACACCCTCGATCGAAGATGGGATCTCAAGCCCGAAGATCTCGGTCTTGGTATAATTTGCCTCCAGAAGTTCACCAGAGTGAATTGCATTGATAATCTTCCTAGTGTAGCTCAGCTTGATACGGCTCCCAGATCCATAGCTGCCCAAAAGAAGAAGAAAGGATGATAAACTCAGAAACACAGTCGATCTCTAAAAAGACCAGAAGAGCAAAGAGTCGAGGGCAAAAAAATGTCACCTTCCACCAGACCAGCCGGTGTTAACGAGCCACCCGGTAGCTCCATGCTTCTGCATCTTCTCAGCCAGCATTGCTGCATACCTAGTCGGATGCATCATTATGAAGGCTGCACCAAAGCAGGCTGAAAAGGTGGCCTGTGGCTCCTTGATTCCATCTTCTGTCCCTGCCACCTACAAGCCATTAAAGGAGGTGTTAGCATTTGTTAACCGATTCGGTCTGGTAAACGAACGAGAACAAGATACCACAAAGAAAGATCTGAAGCGAGGGAGTAGTACCAGAGCAGTGTAGCCGCTGATGAAATGGTACATGGTCTGCGCGAGGTTGAGCCTGCTCACAGGTGGGAGCACACCGAATGCATCGCAAGCCAGAAGGATTACGTTCTTCGGATGAGGTCCCACGCAAGGTAACTTGGCATTAGGGATGTACTCGATAGGGTAAGCTGCCCTTGTGTTCTCTGCAAACAAGAATCACAGCCCAAAAAGGCACCCAAAAAAATGCTAGTTAATGTCTGAACAAGGGATGTGAGAATCCTCTAGTTTTACCTGTGACTGATTTGTCTGAGTAGTCCACTTGTCTTGTATGCTCGTCGAACACCACATTCTCCAACACTATCCCATAGAAACGAAAAAGAGTTAGCATCCTGAGTCCCGACCAATAATTGATCCAACCCTGAAACAGAAAAGAGTATTATTACCTGTTCCGAATTTGATGGCATTGAAGATATCAGGCTCCTTCTCCGCAGAAAGATCGATGCATTTAGCATAGCAACCACCCTCGATGTTGGACACGCCATTATCACTCCAGCAATGCTCATCATCTCCAATCAAGTACCTGTTATGATCCGTCGAAAGGGTAGTCTTTCCAGTCCCTGTACATAGCAGGCAAAATGGGAATCTAGCTAGCACTCTGAGAAACAAAGGGTAAGGCACAAACACAAACAATGCTACTCTCTTGATTATTGGAAGCATGCCTGATAAGCCGAAGAAGAGGGCAACATCTCCATCTTTGCCCATGTTGCAGCCAGAGTGAAGGGACAGGATCCCACGCAAGGGCATGAGATAGTGCATGACGCCGAAGAGCCCTTTCTTCATCTCCCCGGCATATTGGGTGCCCAAAATCACCATCTCCCTCCTCCCCAAGTTGAGGTCTATGCTGGTGGAAGAGGTCATGTAGTGAGTGTAACGGTTGCAGGGGAACTGGCCCGCGTTGTATATGGTGAAGTCCGGAGTTCCAAAGTTCTCCAGCTCCTCAGGAGTGGCCCGAATGCACCTGCAACAAAGTCGTCGTTGGACATAGAACAACCATAAATGTTGAGAAACGAATGTGATTGCGTGTAGTTGAGTTGTTTGAAGGGGGTTAAACTTACATGTTGTGCATGAAGAGGGAATGGTAAGCTCTGGCAGAAACGATTCTGACTTTGATCCTGTGTTCTGGATCCCAGTTGAGGAATTGATCGTTCACAAACACCTGGTACAGGTAGAAGACAATCCATAGCCATAAATATTTTACTATCCATCAATCGGGTTGAATTGAAAATCCAAATACATGGTAAATGAGTAGAGTTTGATGGGTTTATACTCAAACCCATTTATTTGAATTGAGTTGGTTTTTAATTCCATGAATTTAGGTTTTTAACCCATTCCTTTATGCACATTACAGTTTGGTACAAACCTAATAGATATTTAGATTTAGTACCTATAATTTGTTTTATATATATCCTCAAAATATTGATGAAAATTTACATTTTAGTACCTAAGTTTCTGATAATTACATTTTGATACCTAAATTTTTTAAGTTTACAAATCGGTCAAATGTTTGTATATGTAGTTAAAACTAACTACCTCAAGTAAATGGGTATCCATGCTCAAGCCATGTCCATTTAGAGTATGAAAACAATATTCATACTCTACCAAGTACCAACTCATCTACAAAACCCCAAACTCATATCTAGTTCACTCATACCCTACCCATATAATCAATGAGTCGTCTACTTAAATTTGAGTAAAATTATCCACATGTGGATAATTGCCATCCCTAATCACAACAATCGTCCCACTCACATCAAGGAATGAAAAAGAAGAAACCAATAAGGACTCACTTGGTGCTTATGAGACTCGGGATTTATCGTTTTTGATGAATTTATCCCGTAATGGAACGAAAAGACAGAAACCAACTTCTTTCGCGTGTAATCACCGAAAATGAATGATGAAAACAAATATGGTAATATTATAGTCTACATACATCATAGCGTTATGTCATTTGTTAGTTTCATGTTTGATCAATCGATTCAATATGTATTTGATTTAAATGGGTCTAGTTTTGTCTGCTAGCGGCCTACCTAGGCACGCATGTGGATCTGGATTGAGATGGGTGATCTCATCAGCGTGAATGAACAAGACGAAGACAGCGACCGAACTAGGTAATGTTAACTTCAGGAAACAAGTAAAGAGGAAGATCATCTTCTCTCTGGGTGGATCGCAGGAAATGTTAACTTCAGACTAATAATTATATTGGGTCACTTAAGATTAAGATTAAGATTAGGGAAGAAGGTCTGTGGGTGCCTGGGTGGAGAAAAAGAAACTAATATGTGGGTTGGATTAAATATTTGTTAAACCTGTCATGTAGCATTTGTACGAAATATCACATTTTAATGGCTATAAGTATTGGTGTTATTAATGTGATATTTGATTATTAGCACATAAATTTGTTATCTTACCAATTTTCCTATAATCCGATCTTTCTCGCTTTTCCATCGAGATATGTTGGAATAAAATGCTTGTAATTTTCATTTTAGGTTGTAAAACACGATACCAATATGTTATCATATCAATAGAGTACGAAGCTTTATATATTGTTTTAACATAATAGTATGTTGAGAATACTCACATCATTTTTGAAATATTATAAATTTAAAATTAAATAATTATCTAACTAATTTCTTAAAATGTGTGTACTAAACATTTTCGACACGAGAAGCTTCAAACAAACCAAAATAAATTAGATGGTTGAGCAATAATATAGGAACCTAATTTTTTTTTCTTTTTGACGAAAAACCTGCACCTAAGTTCAAAATGCATTTAATAGTATGTGTATTATACATATACATTAAACAAAATTTTGCTAACTATGTTGGTTCAGACATATTGAATCTTCATTTGTATTAGGCATAATTAAAGTAAGAGGGACAAACAAATTATTATGCTTATGGGAAAAGTGAAAAATATAGGTCGCATAAAGAAAATAAAAAACCAAATAGGTCAAAATGTGCATAAAAATAGAGGGTAATTTGAAATATTAAAAAGTAGGGTAAATACAATATATTATCCATAACTATTAAGTAGCGGGGAATTATAGCTACAACTATCGAAATACAAATTATTAGCCATAACTATTGTTGTGGGTCAAGATTTGGCTAATAGTCTGAAACTGTTTTCAAATTTTTAACGTAGAAGGCCATGTCAGCATCGTAAAAAATATGATATGATGACTTCCACGTGGGAGCCAGCTCACCATCGTAAAAGCTTAGTCATCATTACTAACAGAAGTGTTAACGAAAACTTAACGATTGGCTAGTAATTTGTATTTCGATAGTTGTGGCTATAATTCCCCGCTGCTTAATAGTTATGGATAATATATTGTATTTGCCCTAAAAAGTATGATATAATTGAGAAAGTTATTATTTGGAGAATATAAGCTCTCCTAATATTTGTCCAATAAATTACTTATGAATTACGATCTTTTCACAATATCACAAGTGAAATGTTACACAATTTTTTTTCTTATCTCCAACCAAATATGTCTTTTGAAATAAAATATTTAGCCCCAAATTAAACAACACACCCAAAAAGCCAATCAGTCCGTGAAATAGGGTACCCAAAGCTGAGGCAATAAATCCCATTCATATTTTTCTTTCTTTCTTTTTCCAAAAGAAATTACAGTAATATCGTATGATAAATGTTGGGGCAGTTATGGTTACAAGAATTAGGGATGACTGGTCCAGATTTTTCGGTTTTACCCGAAACCGGATCGTATAATTTGGATTGGGACTTGAATAGCAAACAATTCAATCCCATTTTCGGGTTTAGATTTGAGTTAAAAAAATCCTTTTAGACCGAATACTGAAAACCAGATAAAAGAGCTCAACACTCAAAGCCTAACCAACTCATCACCCTTACAGCAGGCCTAAGCCCACTCAAAACCTTCCACATACTCAATCTAAAATCAAAATTGAATTGGGACCGAACCGGGTCAAAATCGAACCGTATCCAATCCCATCTTTAGTTTCTATATTCCTGAAAAAACCGAACCGGACCGTATAGCTGCTCGAATTATGCCAGATTTTACGCCCCTACCTAGTCCCTATGCCACGCTCCGATATACACGCGCAATTAAGTATCGTCACTCTCAAACACAGGTGGGGTTGGCACTGGCAATCTGGCATCCATTAATTGAATTCGCAGGCCACTTCTGTTTCCTTGTTAAGTAAGAGGGCAAGGAAGGAAGGAAGGAAGGTTACCTTGTCCAGAGAGTTCAAGTAATCCACAGCTCGCTCCCTGTTCACCATGAACGTATGCTCATCCATCTCGATGTTCGGCGAACCTCTGCATACATTTTGCAATCCCACATTAATTTTACCCATCCACTATCTATTCTTTAAACCGAAACATCATTATTTTTACGGCTGGGGGCTAGGCTACTCACTTTCCCCACCAAAGATCATCCTCCGTCGTATCGTCCCTCACGACGCGCTTGTCCCTCGGCGACCTCCCCGTCTTCGCACCGGACAGCGTCGCCAGTGCTCCCGTCGACGTTATGAACGAACCCTTCTCGTACTTTATCGCTTGCTCGTACAGCTCTGCAATTTTTTTTTTTTTTTTATAATATAACATTTCCTTAATTAATAAATGAACGCGGAGAACTGCACAAGAAAAAACGCCAATCCCCAAGTTCCAATAAAAAAGGCTATACGTGCCGGCAGGGGAGAGATTGTAGAGGACGTGGGTGAATTTCAGGGAGCTATCCGTCACGCTGATCGACGGCGCGTAGTGCTCCACGTGTCCCACCTTCGGCGCCGTGCTCCTCCTCGCCGGATCCCCCTTCACCACCTTCGGCCCCGTCTCCCGGGTCAGCGACGCCAGCGACGCACTGCAATTCCCATTTTTTTTTTTTATTTTCTTGGTTAATTAATTTGATTGTCTCTTTTTTTCATAATCTACCAATTCGCTAACTAATTAATTAATTAAAAATGTTTAATCACACTTGGGAGTTGGGACCTGATGGACTGGAGCTGCTGCCGCTGCCGCTCCTCCTCCGACATGGCGGTGAAGAAGGCGCCCTGGTTGCCAGCGGCGGCAGGGGCGGTGATGGGAGTGGACGGGGTGGATCTCTTCTTCTGAAGCGAGTGGAGCTCGTCCAGCGTCTGCGCTTTCACCGGGGTCGCGCTGTCGTCGTAGCACAGATCCTCTGCTCCCGCCGCCGCTCCCCTGGCCGCCGCGTCGCTCAGCTTCTTCGCGCTGTCTTGCGTCTGGATCTTCGGCAGCCCGTTGCGCCCGGAACCGGCGCGGTTTGCTGCCGCCGTCGTCGACGACGAGAAGCTGAATTCCCCATTCGCCCCGCCGGATGCCATCTCTCTCTGTTTTCGATCACAAAAAAAAAACAGGGGAGGGCCGAAGCTAACAGATATTAATACTAATGAACAAAATTCGCTAGCTGAAGAATGATGTGTTGCATTTGGGAAGAGGCGAGAGATAAGGATGAGAAATTTGAGTATATAGAGAGAGAGGGGGGGAAGAATTGAATTGGGAGGATAAGTGTATGACGCAGAAATGGGGAATCAATTAATAAAATTTGAAACAACTTCCTTTCTCGAGAGAAGTGATGATTTTTTTCCTTTTTTTTTCCTCGAGAGGAGTGACGATGATTCGTGCAGTAAAGAGTAAAGAAGAAGAAGAAGAAGAAGGGTCAAACGAAAATTACAAAGAGGAATTTGGTGGGTAGGTGGTCGGTGGCTTTCTGACAAGATACAAGATATATATGGCGCCTCCAATGGCGGAAAGGAAGGAAGGCGGGAAATTGGAAGGAGGGATGGGTGTTGATTCCGAAATGGCGTCTTCAGGGAGAGGAGTTATATAGGGGAGGGCGGGAAGGAGGCAGGGTTGGGATGTTAACCATGGTTAGTGTTGTAGGGGGTAAGAATGGGTTGGTCAATGCTTATGATGCTGGTTACTCTGTGTATGTTTTTTTTTTTTTTTATGTGCATATTAGAAGATTAATTAGGTGTTTTGCAAAGTCAAACCATGAGGGTCTTATCTAAATAGTGACACATAGTGACTCTCCTCATTTCTCATTTGGACTTTGGTGTAAATGTATACTTTTCTCATTCAAGATAATGTATTTTTTTCAACAAATTTCTCGTTCGACTCTGCTAAAATCGTTAGATGACCAGAGAAATGATGGTGTTGAGTTGGTTGGCAGTTTGCTGTGACAATCGAATTTAAGCAAACCAAATCAAACCCAACACGTATGAGAAAGAGAAACCTGCCTACTTAGCTATAAAAAAAAAAACTCGATCGACTAATTGACCCAACCCGATTTAGTTTTTTTTTTTATTTCGTTCAATAAAAAGAAGAAAAAAGAGATATGGGGTAAAAGAAATGTTTGACCCTAGACTGTTCTAGGCGGTTGATTCGGACCCAAATGTACACATTTTACCCCTCATTTCTTATTCGTTTAGCTTAGTAGATCATCATTCCTCGACATATTTCATGCCAAGTTGTGCTTGTTTTGATACATTTCAGGTCCTAACACGTGTGGAAGGGGCGATGTCGAATTTTGTGATAATTGGAGGTCAAAAAGCGCAAAAACCAAAGAAAAGTTCAAAGTCCGTGAAAATTGCCCCGTAAAAGTGAAGTGCAGGCGTCCAGGTTTTAGGCCATGTTCCTGGTTTCCCATTGGAGTTCACGATCTCCTAAGGCCGTGAACTGAAGCCATAAACCGTGAACCGCGAGGCGTCCAGGGAGAAATCTGCAGTTACTAGCGCAAGGCGAGTTCACGGTCAACAAGACCGTGAACATTGAGTGCAAACCGTGAACTCATGCAAGTGAAGCGATGCATTTCGGCACAACGCTCTATGTTCACGGACGCGTTGAAGAGTTCACGACCGTGAACTGAGCCCGATCCTGGTATAAAATGTGAGCTGAAAGGAAGAAGGGGGAGCTTCACTTTAGGTTAGGTTTTCATTTTTCAGAATAAAGAGGATTCTAGTGAGAGGTTAGGGTTTCTTATAGAGTGAGAAAGTGCAAATCAAAGGAGGAAGAAGGAGCTTTGGGCTTGTTCCTAACTAGAGGATTGAAGATTTCTTCATTTCAAGAGTGTCTCAAGCAATAAGGAGGAAAGATTAACATTACTTCAGGGTTATTTCTCTCTTTTTTGTTGTTGTCTCTTGTTTAAAGAAGATGAAAAAGGGTCAAACGAAAATTACAAAGAGAAATTTGGTGGGTAGAGGTGGTCGGTGGCTTTCTCACGAGATACAAGATATATGGCGCCTCCAATGGCGGAAAGGAAGGAAGGAAGGCTGGAAATTGGAAGGAGGAATGGGTGTTGATTCCGAAGTGGCGTCTTCAGGGAGAGGAGTTATACAGGGGAGGGCGGGAAGGTAGGGAGGGCAATGGGTCGGGTTGGGACAGGCTTTTGCTAAACCTAAACCCATGGATTTATCCACAAAAAAATTTGGGGTGAAATTCGTTGGTTTTAAAAAACTCAAACCCAACCCAACCTGCTGGGTATCCGCGGGTTCATGGGTACTCGTAGATTTTTGTGGTAAAAATTTACAATAACAAATTTCTTTCAAAATAAATGCCTAACATCAATTTTCTCAATAAGATTATCCATACAAAAAACATTAATCTAGAGCATACAAGCAAACCGCAAATTATCAATACAAATAGTTCAAAATTAAAGATAAACATCTATAAACAACATGATTAATTGAAAGCTCCTTCTTTGTCAACTAAACTTCTTCATTCTCCACTCCATAATATCAACTTCATTGTACACAATTAGTAATAATAAATTAGACATGTCTCAAAAAAAAAAAGATTAGTTGTTTAAAAAAAATATTGTTTAGAATATTAAATAACCCGATAAATAGTGTAGCGGGTTTAAACCCAAAACCTGTCAACACGGGTTTTACCCGTGTTGACCGAGTTGGGTCGGATGGATACCCGTGGGTTCGGATTATGTTCCTTAAAAATAATTCCACCATCCTTCACATTTTCACCCTACTCTTATGGAACAGATGACAAATGATGACACCGGCCGCCCTCTTGGTCGAAAGTCGCATGGTGATTCAATGAACTCACAATGCATGTATATATATATCATTATCCCATCCACTCAGATTGACATTTTTAGTGTTAGATCATTATAAAATCACAAGTTTTCAGTCACATATCCGGAAGTCAACGATTAGCTTCTCCAGCCTTGAATCACACCCCTAAAATTGATTAGCAATTTTTAGGGCTAATACCACTAGGAAACCCGAACTATTAACTTTGTGTCATTTGTGTCCTAAAGTATTCGATATGACATTTGTGTCCTGACGTATGATAGTTGTGTGTCATTTACGTCATGACAATTTCGTTGACCGTTATAGATAACGGTTGACCAAACGGTCAACCATAAAATGTTGACTGTTGATTACATGGCACATATGTGGCAGCCACGTATGCGCCACGTCAGCTGCCACTTCAGATTTTTTTTCAATTTAAAATTAACAATTAAAATACAAAATAAAAAATAAAAAATTTAACAATTAAAATTATTTTCAGCCACATATCCTCATCTCTTCATCGCGTCAATTTGCCCCCCTTTGCCCCTTTCTTGTTTCGTTTTCCTCCCAGATCTAGCTTGATTTCGAGCGATGAAAGGCCAGCTTGCTTCCGACAGCGGCGATTCCCGACGGAGAAGATTGCGGAGAAAGGGACCGGCTCGGGGGTTCCTCTGTCAATCAAAGAAGCAGCTGGTGGCCTTTGTTCCAATGCAGCCTTCTGCCGCCGCGGAAGAAGAAGGCGGGGATTTAGGGTTTCGAGGATAGATTCTCTGACGAGCAGTGGAATCGCTCTCCCATGGCGTGAGATTCGACCTGAACCCAGTGGGGATGTCGATGATGCCGACGATGGTGTTGACACCGTCGACGTCGTCGGGTCTGGGTTTCTGCGGAAGGCGGAAGCACACATGAGTTTTTTCTTCGCTTACCTACCGGAGGAATCTGATTCTGCGATTCAACATTTATTGTTGATGGTTTTCGTTCTGCATTAGAGAACTGCGAAGGGGTATTCGTCCAGATCTGAGTACTCCCTAATGGCGAAATCTTCCACCTCTTTGAGAAACAGGCCGTCTCCTCTGACCAACGATGGCTGCCTCTACATGGGAGGTGCCGTCTTCGCCTTCTTACTCGTCTGGTGCCTCTGGTCCTACGTCGGCCCGGCCGACTCCGGCGGCGGCAACAGCTTCATGCCCAGGGTATTCAGCGACCTCGGCTGCACCCACCCGGCTTCGAATCTCAGATTGGGAAAATTTGCCCAGCTGCCACCGAAAACAAAGCGTTGAAATGACCTCCAGACTCCTATTAATTCCACATGGAACTTCTTCCGATTGGGGAAATTGGTGGAGAGGACGGTGAAGATGTCGACGATGACGAGGCCAGAAGAAATAGCAATTAGCAAACATGTGCAGGTATGGTCTTTGGTTGTGAGGGAGGGGAATAATTGGGAGGCGGATAAAAATAAAGGGAAGGAAGGTAGGCGTGCAAGTGAGAGCTAGACTTAAGTGTTAAGAGTCAAAGGGAGTGGAATTAAAAGCGAAAGGCAACTGGGAGTGTTGACGATGGACACTCTACGACGACCCGCCCGACTCCACCTTCTACGACGACCCGGAGCTGCGGTACTCGATCGAGAAGAAGGTGACCGGGTGGGAAGAGAAGCGGAAGGAGTGGCTGAAGCGGCACCCGACCTTCCTGTTCTCTAACTCTTCCATTTTGCGGAGAAGAAGAACAGTCCGGGGAAAGAATCAAAGATTTTAAATAATTTTTTTAGTAATATCTTTTGATTTTGTTAGTTTGTTCATTTTTATGAGAAAATAAATATAAGAAAAAATAATTAAAATTACACGTCAGATGCCACGTCAGAGCGGTGACTAGACTTTCTGTTAAAAATTAACGGTCAACGCCGGTCAACCATAACGGAAAAATAGTTTGGGACACAATTGTTATATCGAATACTTTAGGACACAAATGACACAAAGTTAATAGTTCGAGTTTCCTAGTGGTATTAGCCCCAATTTTTAAACGTGGTCCCTTCATCAACATCATCAATTTTAGCAATGAAGCTTTTAGTCATCAACGTCCTAAATTGTGTTAACAATTTCTAATGTGTTTCTCATCAACTATTTTAAATCTACCCATACACTTTGCAATTGAAATGTTATAAAAACGAAAAAGAAAACAGTTATACATATGACACTAGATGACTTTCTAATTTAGCAATCTTGCTAATGTAGCAAGTATTCCTACACTCCTACCAATTTGCTAAAAAAAATTGTCATATAAGTTCTACCTCACTTTATCAATTGCTAAAAGTTGGGGATGAAGATTTGCTTGAATGTGAACATTTGCTCTCTCGAAAAGAAAGCAAACTTGCTTGAGAAAGGCACACAATGCTCCCATGTCAGCTCCGTACTAAAATTTCAAAGGGTCATCTTCTTTGACAATATTTAAAAAATATTGTTTGAGTAACTGGGATGTGAACGATATTTCATTTAACAGATGGACGATTGGAAAAGCCACTTACAAAGTCAAGATTGCAAGTTGGGTGCAATAAAAAAAACACTATTAGGAAATGTTAGAAATCGAACAGAAAAAATAAGATTACCGATCAGGTTGAGTCATGTACTAGGTCGATCTCTTTAAAACGTTCGCGACACTGCTGCCGTTGCGCACGACATATTATCAACCGGTCGCCTCCAGGATACAACAGTCTGATTTTAGTGCTTTGCAGTTTTTTGTGAAAACCAGAGCTCTCTAAATCTAA